ATGCGGGCCTTGATCCCAGGACGCTGGGATCATGACCTGAGCCGAAGGCAGACACTTAACGACTGAGCCACTCAGGCACCCCGACCACTTGATTTATATACAACTCTGTATATCATAAAAACTTTGATATGAGTAAAAGTATACAAATATAATTTATCATATCCATATATTTTTATTTTTTATTTTTTTAAGATTTTCTTTATTTATTTAAGAGAGAGGGAGAGCACTTGCAGGAGCAGTGGGGAGGGCCAGAGGGAGAAGAAGGAGGCTCCAGCTGAGCAGGGAGCCTGATGCGGGGCTCGATCCCAGGGCACCGGGATCATGACCTGAGCCAAAGGCAGATGCTTAACCTACTGAGCCACCCAGACGCCACCATATCCATATATTTTTTAAAAATAAATTCTATAAATGGTTTTTAAGAGCACAGAGATTGACCTTAAATAAAGGCAATTTTGACCTTTTTACCATAGTCAGATGTTTTATGTTATCTAATTATAGGCACATATTATGATGTATTTCATATGTATCACATGTCCTAACTGGTCTCTAACCACTTCATAACATGATACAGAAATTGAAACTGAGAGGTAATAAGTAAAGTTCTAGAGTCTCACTGAATCTACAGAAATTATTCACAACAGATTCCTGAATATAGTGTAGTGAAACAAATTTTGTCTTAAAAAACTTGCACTCTAAATCCTCTGGTAGAATGTGATAGTGTGTGTGTGTTAAAGTGACATTCAAAAATTCACAGATTTCCCGAAGACTTCCCAGATTTCTAATAGAACTGAGAGGCTGTTTAGTCCCACTTCTCCACCAAGGTAAGATCCCAAGGATAATGGAGGGCAGAAGTGTTGCCACATGGTAAGTAACCCAAATAACTTAAATTAGCTGGATACTTGAACATTATTAATGTTGGAGAGTGATTTGAAAGCCCCCTGCATTGCACAATTCCATGAATCGAATAGAAAAGAAATTTTATTTCCTTGAACTTGTGCAACCTGGCAATTCAGAGGAATAATCTCTGTATTGTCTGTTTTCTGAGTCATAGTTTATCATGTTTGTGAATCATTGCTATGCACCCTACTGTATTCTTTAAATGTCTACTCTTGATTAATGCTACAAAAAATGTAAAAACATCACATATATTAGATTTTGAAGCAGGTAATTTAATTGCCACAAACTTGTAAGCGCAAAATTTGTGTAAACAAACAACGAAAAAGTAGGATGCAAAAGGCATCTACCAGTTTATGCATCTAATGCTTCAAGTATTTCTCCTGAAACCTCACCTGGAGTCAACAGAAACATAGGTTTTGCACTTTTTTTTTTCACTTGTTTGTCTTTGTTGTTATAGAATTTCCCCTTACTTTCTATAAAACTAGATTACCCTTCAAGCAAAAGTCAATGAGATGAATATATTTTTTAATTTTTGGAAAAGTGATTTTCGTGACAATTGTTAATGCATTTTCCTAAATGTATTGTTATTCTTTGTGTGATAATCAAAATACTAAATATCGAATGTACTCCTCTGGGAAATATTGTTGAGACAACTCTCAAAGCTCCTAAATAATTGCCAACACCTTACCATCAGATGAACTCAAGAAAATGATGTATTTGTGTTACCTCAGAGCTTTCCTACTGTTCTCTACCTCTCTTACGCATATTTGGAGGAGGGGCAGTCATCCTCGGTCACCTTCTTCTGATTCCTTTCCATACTCATTTTTCCCGCAGGTCTGTCTGTCTGTCTGTCTGCAGGGAAGTCAGATCTCCTCAGGCTACACTCTGTTCATAGGGGAGCCAGACTTGAACTTCATAAACATGATCTCCCCTCCAGACTACATAGTCTAATCCTAGTCCCCATTAGATCTGGAGTGTGTCTGGCAATAGGGTGCACAAAATTGGATAATCTAAATTAATTCCCAAAGGAATTTGTTTGTTAGTAGAGAGTAGCTTTCTTTAATTATGAGGGGAAAGACTAAAGGTAAAATTTAAGAAGACAGAGACAGACAATTGGGAAAAAGTCTTTAACTAAAGAACTCCCTTGGTGTCACTGGTGCCCCTAAATATATCACTACATAGGAACTGTCTACTTTTAAACTCCTTCATTCAGGGGCACCTGGGTGGCTCAGTCAGTTGAACATCGGACTCTTGATTTTGGCTCAGGTCATGGTCTTGGGGTCGTGAGATCAAGCCCCGCTTAGAGCCCTGTGTTGGGCATGGAGCCTGCTTAAGATTCTCTCTCTCCCTCTCCCTCTGCCTCCCACCTCTCTCGCATGCTCTCTCTCTCTCTCAAAAACAAACCAACAACAACAACAAAAAAAACCAAACAAACCTTCCTTCAGATAATAGTTTTCTGGCCCTGAGTCATGGGCTGTCATGAATAAGTTCTGTGCATGATACTAGTACCAAGTTCACTAAGTCTTCCAATCACAAGGAAACAAGAAAATCAGGAGTTGTAGGTTGCTAACATCTCTATTCTATAAGCAAGCAACCCATTTTTAGTAACATATAGGACAATTATTCAATGAAATATTTTCTAAAAGTTGCATGCTTTATTAATTTTACAGAAATATCTTGAAAACGTATAAAATAAACTGCTAGAGATTTTAAAAATTAATATGAAATTCTGCAGCTGTCTATAATCTGGTAGTAAATATCTTTAATTTTAGAATGAGTTTTGAAGTTGTGTGTATGTGTATTATTTAAAAAAAATAGCTAGTGACTTTTCAGAAATAAAAACATCCCTGCACACATAACCTAGACCAAAACACGAACATAACAGCATTCAGAGACTATGAGCCTTAACACCAATTGATGTCCAACATGATAGTTTAGTATTTTTTTTCATATATTGAAGTGAAATCATTTGGTCTGTAACCTTGTATGTCTTACACTCATTGTTATGTATATGATTCCCTCATGCTGTTGCACCTGGTGATCATTTATTCACTCTCTTCACTGTGTGGTATCCCAATGAACAAACATACCCTATGTTATTGTCAATTTCTAAATAATGCTACTACGATCATTTTTGTACAAGCTTGGGATGTCCATAGTCACTCATTTGTATTGGATGTAGAGGTAGGGATAGAATTTTGGGTCCAACTGTAGTAGATCCTGCCACACAGTTTTCCAAGGTTGTGCGTCAGTTCTGATCTCTGTTGTCGATGTCTGAGAGCTATTATTGTTTCACATCCACACAAGTACTTGATGTTAAGATCGTGAATCACTTTCATTTTGGCCATTATTTAGGTGGGTCAAGGTACAGCACTGAGGTTTTAATTTTTATCTACCTGAATACTAATAATGTTGTATCACCATTTCTGTGAAGTGTCTGTTAGATCCTGAATGCGGAATAGGAGGTCAGGAAAGAAGCCGTGTTTACAAGGACTCAGCCTTCTACTGCTCCTACTTTCTAGCCGATATCATTGCCATTCATGTCAAATTAGCCTTGAGACATAATGCCATTCCTCTGTATGAAGAGAAAGCCACTTGTTTGGTTTATTTACTTACCTTTTTAAAAAATATTTCCAATAGTGCAGATAGGTTTACACAGCAGAAGAACTAGAAGTGAGAGAAATCCTCTTTCCAGAATGGGGGGTGAGGTCTAGTGAGGAAGAGCGAGTTGTTAAACACCACAGTGATTTCGAGTTGTATTCGATGTCAGGTTCACAGCATATTTCTGGAAAGGAATGTCTAAAGAGGTTTAAAGTTGCTGCCTCTGGTTTTCACACAGGAGCACCCACTTACTGGGTTATTGAGCTTTACCACTGTTGTATTCTAACACATGGTGCTAGACAGCCTACCACTAGTATGCATCTACCTGCTCACTGTGTTGTACAAATGCCCAAATCTACCATCACTATGTCATTTTTATCCTTAGGAATTCCAGTGCAAGGCTGAAGGAAAGGAGTCCAGATACAGAAACATGCCTATTATATCAATAGTCATTTGTAATATAATACTGGATAATGATTCTCTCATTAGTCCCTGGTGGCTATGTGAGAACCTTGTGATGTAGCCACACAGAGAGTAGAAGGCAACTGGTGAGGAAGGAAGTAAATGAGCCAGAATACACGAAAGTCTTTTAATATTTTTCCTATTTCTGTAGAATCCCATATGGAAGGGTTAGTTCAGGCCATCTGTCCCAAGTTCCTATTTAAGTCATGAGTCTACTAGTCAACATTCCTAGTGAGTAATTTTTTACTCTCTAATTACGTAATTCAAGGAGATGAAGCCTACAATTAATTAAATTGGTTTCTTCCATTTTTAGACATACATTCACTGAGCTTAAGATATCTCATTTAATTGGTTTATGATTTCCTTCTCGTCAGTTCAGACTCATTAGATGTGATTGAAGAGGCCAATATGTAGATCAGATCAGTCTTTACATGATATTACTGTCCTATGTCATATGGAAGGACGATGGCATATTTACAACTTCTGAATTAGAAGCCTCTGATCCACTGAGACTCTGCTTTGTTTATACTTTAATACATTTCAAAAAATGGCTTTTGCTATGTTGCTTCTCATAAGAAAGATTAGCAAGAAAATATGGTACAAGTAGAGACCCTTAAAACATTTTTCCCCAAAAACACCTTCCCCATAGATTTTTTTTTCACCGCCATATTTTTCCCACAATCTGTCATAGTTTCCCACAAATACTATCTGCAACAGCAGAGGAGACTTTTGAGGTTTGCTTCTGAAATTCCTTCTGAAATTATTTCACCAAGGACAATTATAATTACTTAAGGGGTACAATCTAATAGATATTTAAGAATGTCATTTTGTCAGGGCACCTGGGTGGCTCAGTTGGTTGAGCATCAGCCTTCAGCTCAGGTTGTGATTCCGGGGTTCTGGGATGGAGCCCCGTGTCTGCTCGGTGGAGAACCTGCTTCTCCCTCTGCCTGCTGCTCCCCCTGCTTGTGCTCTCTCTCTCATTCTAGCTCTATCTCAAATAAATAAATAAAATCTTAAAAAAAAAAAGAATGTCATTGAGTCTTCCATGGTCCTGCAAACACACAACCATGTCCACTCTTTCTCAAGAAGCCTGCTTCCAGTGGTTGACAGAAAACTTGAGCAGAGACAAATGAAGAAGAGCACATCCAGAAAGTACACAGGTGAATTTTTTTTTTTACTTCCCATGTTATTAATATAAGTATCTTTATAGGTTTATTACTTTAGTATCCACAATCATTTTTATGCATTTTCTTAAAAGTTATTCACACACACCCACACAAGGCATACATTATACCCTCATTTAATTATGTTTTGACAAATATCTAATGAACATTCAAAAATGTTATCAAGTGTGTGGTTTTTATTATTTGTTTTTCCATTTTGTGTTCCAGACAAGATAAAGGAACTGATAAGAATGATTGATAAGAATTGATACTCAACCTGCAGCAAAGAATGTTCATGGTCTTATATTGGAGACAATGGTCAAATCAACTGAGCCATAGGTACAGTGATGCCTTGAGGAGAGTATTACTTATAAACCACAAAGATGAGCATTTAACCAGGACTGAGAAGGCAGAAGAAGGGAAGAAAAGCCAAGTGGAAGTGACTGAGTTGAATTTCAACATAAGGATGTACTTTGCCAGGACCCTCCACTTTGCACTTTTATCCTTCTCTTGTTGGACATTGCAGGGGAGCAGAATACACCACTTCAAAATATACCACTTTGGCTATTGAGTATTTTATTTTATTTTTTTAAGATTTATTTATTTAGGGACGCCTGGGTGGCTCAGTCATTAAGCACCTGCCTTCGGCTCAGGTCATAATCCCAGGGTTCTGGGATCGAGCACCGCATCAGGCTCCCTGCTCAGTGGGAAGCCTGCTTCTCCCTCTCTCGCTCCCCCTGCTTGTGTTTCCTCTCTCACTGTGTCTCTCTCTGTCAAATAAATAAGTAAAATCTTTAAAAAAGATTTATTTGTTTATCTTAGAGAGAGAGTGTGCATGCACAAAGGGAGTGGAGGGGGTATGGGCAGAGGGAGAGGGAGAGAAGAAGACTCCCTACTGAGCATGGAGCCGTCTTGGGGCTTGATCCCCTGAACCTGATATCATGACCTGAGTGGAAAGCAAGGGTCGGATGTTTAACAAGCAGACCCACCCATGCACCCGGGCCACTGATTATTTAAAATCAAATTTACTTAAGGAATAGCAGGTGCAAGAAAGACACTCTGAGCCGCCTTTGTCTTTCTGAAGGCAGGAAATAAATTTCCTATGTGAAGGGTACTCTCCCTGCACCAGGAGAAAGAGAGACCTCCTCATCCCCAAGAGGGAATTGAAGGCTGAGAATGCTGTGTAAACAAACTCTGTTACTTCTTTACTTAGAAGTAAAGTTTGGTCCCGAGACCATACTTCTCTGTCATGTCAATTCTTCACAAATGTATTGTTTCTTTGTCTAAAAAATATAACAGATACTTTATCTGGCCACTTATTTGAGTTTCATATTTTTTTGAGATCCTATACATAAGAAGTTGAATTTGTTTTTCTTCTGTTAATCTATCTTATATCAATTTAATTATTAGATCAGCCAAAGAACCAGGAAGGGAAGAAAGGAAAGTTTTGCTCCCTTACAACTACATCACCTCTAAGAAGACATTGTCCTATCCACCTCAGGATCTGTAATTCCAGCTTCTCCATCTGGATTCCTTTTTTCCTCCCATCCTCATTGTATCCCTCTTCACCATTTAGATCGGAAACAGAATTTCAAGGAATCTTTTCTTCTCCGCATTCTACAGGTAGACATTTTGCTTGAACTTAGAGTTTCTTGCCTTTTCACTTCAGGGAGACTTAGAGTTTCTCATGAATAGTTGTAAGACTATTTAATTAATTTTACTTATTTTTATTACATTATGGAATTCATTGGAATATAAACTACTGGAGTCACCATGAAACGCAAGACACCTATAGTGCAAAAGGAGTACACTAAAAACTCACAGGTCTTCGAATAATTAAATTAATGCATAAAATAAACAACTAATGCAAAATTAGCACACTAAGATGAAGAGTGGAAAGTTTTCCAAATATTAAGTGTGACTTATTTAAAATGGAGACATACGGGAAAAATGAAGGGGGGGAAATAGGAGGGGGAGATGAACCATGAGAGACTATGGACTCTGAGAAACAAACTGAGGGTTTTAGAGGGGAGGGGG